GCGGCTGCCACAGACAAAGTAAACAATGAAAACCGCTAAAGCTTTTATTATACTTCGGGGGCATGTATCCCAACATAATAAATAAAATTTTATGACAACCGGACCCTCTGAACCCGCGAAATTTAACAATTCCCGTTATTTTCTGAACACACCTCGTATATAATTGTGTGAGTTTATTTCATTTAAAATTACACGTCGGTATTTTTAATAAAAAAAATCGAAATACTGATGTCAAAAATAATTGGTTGTAATTTGTAAGGATTTAAAATTAAAGACCTTGATACCGAATTGTTTATAATTTCTTTTCATTCCATTTTATTTTATTTTTGACGAATGTAAAATGATATGTTACAAAATTATCCAGAAATCCCATTATGTCAGAATATACAAATAAAAACAAGCCATTATAAAGGTGACGCACCTTTTATCATACAAAGCGTTTTTTTAGCATGTTGAATCGTGAATTCGCTGCCCAATAAACAGGTTCTATTGTGGCCAAAAAATCACATTAATCATAAAATAAAAAGACTTCAGCATTTGGTATTGGGTTAATCAATGATGTAACATAATATGTACACATATGTATATGTATATAGATAAATGCCATACCTATAAGTAATTAGTCTATTATGATGACAATGGATTCAAGAACCAAGTCAAAGTCTTATTCATATAAGGAAAAACACTTATTTGGCAAAACGCATGTATTAAAAATAAGAAGGAAAATTCCCAATGTTATATTAATATACCGTAAAACGAGGTGAATAGGACTTAATTTTGGAATCATTGAATGCATTTTTAGACTTAAGGCAAACAGTATAATTACTATATCATGTCATATGCATAAAGTGAATAGTTTTTGTTAAACTTTGACAAATAAATAAATAGAATATTACTTTTTTGTTATAAGGTAGAATTTTTATTTACTTATTAATTTTATTAATTTGTTTTGTTAAAATTTGACAAATAAATAAATAGCATATTACTTTTTTATTATTATGTAGAATTTTAGGAATCTTAAAACATTGTTTAAAAAATTCTTTGTCAATTATTTAACATTTTTTAAGGCTAATTTCAAAGTTAATAACTTTTTATTTTACCTAAAGTATATAAATTCAGTGATATTTAACAATTTATAAAATTTTAATTATTATTTTGTATCAAGAAACCTGCGACGGGTGAGTTGACTGTAAATATAACAATAATTATTATTACTTTTTTGTTATTACCTAGGTACAATTTGTATTTATTTATTAATTTTATTAATTTTTTTTGTTAAAATTTGACAAATAAATTATTAGCATATTACTTTTTTGTTATTAGGTAGAATTTTTGGAATCTTAAAATATTGTTTAAAAAATTCTATGTCAATTATTTAACATTTTTTAAGGCTAATTTCAAAGTTATTAACATTTTATTTTACCCAAAATTTATAAATTCAGTGATATTTAACAATTTATAAAATTTTAATTATTATTTTGTATTAAGAAACCTGCGACGGGTGAGTTGACTGTAAATATAACAATTTTTCAGGTTGTTATAAACAATTTGTTGACAAACTTTTTTGTAAAAAAATTACTATATAAAAAATAGCAATCAGTAGACAAGTGAAACATTTTTAAATAAGGGGAAAATATGTAACATTATTTTTAAAAAGTGACAGAAATACAAATTTTCAAATTAAAATTATTCATTTTCTAAACGTCAATGTCACGTCAACATCTTATTTGCATTAGTATTTTGATTTCGTACTTTGTTTTATAATTTTTTTTTAAGAGTAATAAACAATGTACATCTGATCTCAAATTTTTATTTTGTAAATTAATTTTCTTAATAAGCAGAACTTTTTAAAAAGAATGAGTTTTTGTCGTAAATATTATCAGAGGAGACCCAAAATGGGGGGTCATGTGGCATCGCCCCCTATTTTATTTTTTGAGTTACTTTACAAGGTATTTTGGTTCCACTTCATGAATATTTATTTAATTTAATAAGCTTAAAAATTAATCATAATACGCTCGAAAAAATAGTATATGAAGATTTTTGTAATGAATGAAAAAGTAAAAATAATAACTTTATTTTCCTAGCACAATAAATCAATAAAAATTAATTTTTTCCCCTACCTCGTTTATAAACTTTTTTCTACTCCCACCTTTAAAAGGCCCTTTATCGTACATGTTTCCATGACACTAAGTGGCCTTTTAAATACAAATTGACAAGTTGTGGCTTTATGGCGCTTTAGTCACGGGCTGAAGTTAGCAACAGGTTTTTAGTCACGGGCTGTAGTTAGTTTAAAGTTAGTTGACAGTTGTCAAATGTCATACAATCGTTAAAATAAAGTGCCTTTCTTGTAAAATAATACTAAATGTAAAAATTATTTTATTACCTCAATACAAAAATACAAAAGTATTAAATAGTTTCTCAACGCCAATATTTGAAAAGTTTATATGAACATTGCACTGACCTTTTAATTTCGCCGGCAGTAAACTATAACTTAAATTCGAGCACGGACTCCACTGTAAAGTGCTCATAAAGCATTTTCTTTACTTTCACTGTGAAAAACTGACAATTTTCAAGAAATACATTTCGATTTATAACCTTTATAATTGTGTTTATAAAATGTAAAAATGTGACATTTGACGTGACACACAGATTTACCTATTGTTTCATAGATGGCGCTCTATACAAATTTTTGATTTAAATCATTTTAAGATAATAATAAGTATTTGTCGTGGAAAAAGTATAGTATGCACCTCGTTTACAAAACTTTTCTATACACTCATTAACTTAAGCACTCGCTCGCAAGCTCGCTCGTGCCTAAATTAAATTCGTGTATAAATGGCGTTTATCAAACTTGATAATATACTATTATAACTTTTCTAGGCCCTCATTTAATTAAGCACAATTAATACACAATATACTATTATAATAGTATATTATGTATTGATAGATGAATACTGTTTCCCTTAATGTACTAATTAAGATATAATTAATATTAATATTTTCAAATCTGATGCACCTATTCCTTGATAAAGTGGTAATCGGGTAAGAAAAAACCGCATAAAATCTTAGAAAAATGCAATAAAACCAAGACTGTAATGAAATGAAATTAATCAACAAAATCCTTATAAGGTGCCGATCCGGTCGTACCCGTATGTATACATGAAAGACAAACTTAATACGATAAAATCACATTTAATAAAACGAAAAGTCGACTTACCCAAGTAAGTAAAACTAATATAGGCAACTCAGATTACAAGGTTTATAAAACTTGTTCTACAAATTCTGCATAAAAAGTGAGTTTAGGTCAATATTTTGTTCAGACTTATTTAGACTGATGCCAGAGCCCTTTACAGTACTTTTTTTATATATAGATGACAAGAACTTAATTAATTAGTAAATATATCACAGATTCAATTAATAAATACATCATAAATAGGAAATAAATTTAAAATATAAAATATCACATTTAGTTAATATCACAAGGGTAAATAAATAATTGCCTTAAAAATATCACTTTTAGTTTCTTACTAGTTACTAGTGATATAATAATTATTAGTTACTTTTGTTCTTAAACTTTTAAAATAGATGAGATAATATGAAATTCCACATATTAGTTTTTACACATATAATATTTGGTATGAAAGGTTTAGTAAATCCTATACGCAAATGTTTAAAAAATGTTTATTATTGTTATGTATACATACAATGTTGCCAATAGGAAAAACTTATTTATTATGCGTTTTACGGAAAAATGCCATTCTTTATAAAAACTCTTGCTTAATTAAAAAGTTTCAATAAAATAAAATAAACAGGGTGCTCACAAATTAGGAAAACATGAAAATTCTTCAAGAGAGAAGTAGCCTTATTTATTACTTTATTGAAAAATTTTATAAAAGAAAATTGATGAAAATTCAAATTAAAGTCAAAATAAGAAATAAAAAATTTCAATTTTAAAAGTTTAGGTATAACAAAATTTTTATTTTGTATTTGATTTAATTTAATTTGAATTGTCATCGACTTTTTCATATACAATTTTTCATTATAAGTATTAAATATATTTTTTTATATAAAAATAAAAATTTTAAATTAAAAAAATATATTTTTTACCTGCCAGCATTAAATTTTAATATTTTTAATAAAAATACCTCATTTAAGGTAAATAGTTAGGTTAAGAAGTAAGGCTTTTTGTGCTAAGCTCAATTGAGCGAAGCACAAAAAGGCACTTCTTGGCCGAATGGCATACAACATTTTATCTTTAAAGCAATTTATATAGGTCAATTTAATTCAACATCAAAGTGGCCTAACCTCACTTTTTTTAAATCTCATTTATTTATTAGCTAAAGATTACTTTAAATGTACAATAATTATTATTGCTTTTAGAAGCAGTAATAGTTTGACAATACCTAGCAACATGATTTAAGTAGAAATGGATTTTTGCTATTACATTGAATTCAATTAATTGTTTAATAAATAGGTAGGTATCTAATTTCAATTTGTTTGGATTTTTATTTAAAAAATAGGGAGTTTGGAATGTTTAAGCTGTGTTTAACATTTAATTTCACTGAAAACTTAAAGCAAATTAAAACTTAAAGATAATTTAAATCGTGGAATAAGAATCGTGCGTTTTGTTGGTTGCCTAACCTCACTTTTTGTTTTATTATTCATATTTAATTTTACAATAATTTAATGAAAAATATTAAACATTAACAGTAAAACAAACAAATTGGTGCTTATTATAAATAAATTAAACCAGTTTAGTACGTTAATTTCTTAGAAAAGGATTAATTTTTCAAATTTAAAGCAGGTTTTATAACATTAATAAATATTTTATGTTTTTTTAACAGTGTCTGGATAATGGCCAATATATTGTTTGAATCGTGGTATTTTGTTTGTTTTAGTTTGGCTATTATGCGGTAAACAAGGTATCAATAAAATTCAGTAAAATTCCTTTATTATCATTAAGATTACATATATTAAGATAAGTTGAGATAAGGACTTACCGTTCCTCTTTGTATATGGTTGGGAAGGTTTGCTTGGATAAGTCCAGAATGGAGGCTTCATTCTGGGGTTCGGCGGATATACCGGCCCTTTGCTTTCTAGGTCTAAGACCTACGTTGTTGTTGAGGCCCACGTGCTTGGGGCTGGCCGGGTTGCATACCACCAAGACGCTCTGAAACTTGTCGAGTTGCGATTTGAGGTTAAGGATCTCCCTGTCTCTCTGCTGGAGCAACTTGGTGAGCTCGGCGATCTTCTCCTCTTTTAGGGCGAGCAGAGATCTCAACTCCTCGCTGTCGGTCATCATGTTGGAGTAGGGGTTGTTTACGTTGTTGATTGGCGCCCCAGCTTCCTCGTCCTTGATTCCAGACGAGAAGCACAGACCTCCGAAACAGACACGCATATATCGAAGCTATCGCGGACCGACTGTTCAGCCACCAAGTTCTATTATTGAATCAGAGCCAACTGTCGCGATCACCTGAACCGAATCCCGCACTGCACTGTCTAGTCGTTATCATTTTTCAAGAAGGCTCTCGATTAGATAACCTATCTTCTGTTTTACTTTCGTGTGGAGGGTCTTATCTGTTCGACTCCATGACGTTTGTTGTTGTTGTTTTTTTGATCCCGACGACCTGAAACACACATTCATGTAATTTTCGTTTGATGTTGACCGCGCGCGCTGATTTTTTTGGCGTATCAGTGAGGTATTTGATGAGTCAAAGTTGTGTTTAGTTTTCGAGGAATTTTCCATTGTTTAACAGTGGTTATCTTTAATGAATTGTGGTCAGTATGAAAAGTTTATTTGGGTCAATTAGCTTGTTCTGTTTGTTATAATCTAGAGACGCTGTATCAGAAAGAAGACCCCGTAAATTGTTTGATCGTTTAAAAAAATATCAGTTCACTAAGTAAATTAAACACATCCAAAGCAATTGAATCAAATATAAAATATTATCATTAATTTGCTATTTAATTTTATTTTTTTTAATATTTTATGTACCTATGTACAATGGTATTTTTTTTAAATATTAATTTGTCAAAAGATACAATAATTTATTTTAAATATACAAAGGAATGTTTAAAAAAAACATACGAAATCCTAACCTTCGTGAAGCTCTAATATTCAAAATGTATGATTTCTTAAAATTCTTGCATTAGTGCAGAACCACTTATGTTATGTTATTCATAGACCTGGTGGCTTCCCAAAAACTCCATTCTAGACTAACAGTGAAACAACAAAAAATAAAAAATAATCATTTTCACTTGGGGGACATCTCAATATGTTCAGTGATTTTGTTAAAGAAATAAGTTGGTTTTTTACAAATATCTGGAAAATTTATATAAATTTTAAAAATTGTCTTTTCTGTCCATTGCCAAAATTTACTTGTTGTTCCAATATAGGTAACTAAAAAAATAAAATGTTACTATAAATTTACTAGTAAATAATTTTTTTGACAAAAGAAAGAACAGACAGAAGGGACAAACTTATTATTATTTTAATTTTTTTTTGTTGTTTTCCAGTTTTTAAGTCTATGGGTGAAAATAATTTTTAAGAGGTTTTGCACAAAAATTCTGCCCAAAAACGCTGAAATTTCAAAATAAAAAAATATTTTTTAAATAATTAACCAAAGCTAAATGGGTTTAGCTCCATCTGTGGCTGGATGGGACACTAATTGGTTAAAAAACAAGTTTAAAAAAAACGTTATTTTACTTGGATTTTTGAATAAAGGATTATTTAATTTTCTTTTTAATTTCGGAAATTAAAAAAAAATTAAAATCGCAAAAATGAAAATTTTTAAAATCCTAAAATTTTTAAAACTTTCACATCATTTTTTAAATTTATGCCACTGTGCAAAATTGTCCTACAATTTTTAAAATTTATTTCACTGTACGAATTTATCATACTTCGCGAATATTTTCTACCATTTTTAGTTACCATTAGGTGGAAATTCAAAAATTAAGTAGAAAACCATGTTGCTATACACTTAAGAAGTATCGGGTTCTCGCAACGCGCGCGCCATCTGGTGGACTTCGATAGCATTGCGTGAATTTAAAAATTGTCAACAATACATTTAAAGCATACTGTACATCATTTTTAAATAAATACCTATCTAGTTTTTTCACAAAAGGGAGGAAGGCAGAAGTCTTACTCGACAAATTTTGTTCAATTGCACATCTAAATCGCGCATTTGTGTTTTACGTTGCAAGGAAAAAACTAAAACACTGGTTTAGTACCCGATTTCGATTGATTATTCTTTATATCATTGATTAAGAAACTATTAAATGCTTATATAGTTAAGTTAGTGTATGTAATTTATCTAAGGAATCATGGTGAATTATTTTATTTTTAATTGTAAATAAAATTCAAGAACTAAATCGTTGCATTTTCATGTTTTGCCAAAGGATCCAATTTGGTAAGTACATTTGTTGGTGCAGAATTAACTAATGATGACTTACCTAATATAATTTATATTTAAGTTTGGACATTTTTAAGAAATTAGTAAAAAATAATTTTTGAACAAACATAACCTTAAAATCAACCATTTTTATGTTTGAGTTCTCTAAAAAACTGCATTTTAAACAACAAAATATACCTACGAATTCATGGCAACATAATATAATGGTATTTTACCGTTGAGTGGAGACTTTCTTAATCAACGCTTTTAATAATACTAAATGCTAGTTAAATTTAGACGACTTATTTGTTTGACGATTTTTACTGAATTAGAATGTTAAACTTTAAACGTTTATCACTACTAATATGTGTATTTATTGTATCTAAGGTACAATTTATATTTACAGAGACTTTATCCAATTTATTTCTTCATTCAGATTTACACTGTTTCTTGGAAAACCGGTAAAAACTCAACCCAGGATTTCCTCTCGAAATACACCCAACAACACAACAAATCGAGCCACGGTTTAAAGAGTTATCTAATCAAATAATATTTCGGAAACTATGTAGCAAATTTTGTAGGGCTTTTTTTATGGAATGGTTTTATCGGTATTGCTATCTAGCTAATACGCTTTTCCCAAAAAATAATAAAATGAGACATTATATAATTAATAAATTTTATATCTTCAGTTCTTCCAACAAAATTAAACCTAATTATTCACCGATAACAAATTTGCTAGATACTTAACAAACATGCGAATATTTCGACGATTCGTAACATAATTATTTAAACGTTGATACGAAGTAAATTGAATCAAACAAACAATTACTTAAATTCGCCTGAGTTTGCAGTTATTTAACACCTATGCTAATGAAGTTGATATAAATAACACCTAAAACCTTGAACTTATATATAGGTATACCTTGCAATTTTTCTATTAAAGGTTTTTATTATGCGAGTAGGAAAGTAGTAGGAGTAAACTTGTTGATAAATAAAAAAATTAACAAAATCCATCTTTGTATCTCAATCCGTAGACATACTATTTATTCTGTATATAAATCAAAATTCGCTAAATTAGTTGCCGATAATAAATTATGCAAACTGAATTTTAAAAAGTTGCACCTAAACCCAGGCAATCTTAATTAAGATAGGCGTAAAATATACCCAGGCGTGATATATCGTGTTTTTTTATGGCTCAATTTAAAGGTGTAGGCAATAATTACGATTTTTTGTGCCTTTTATTCTTTAGTTTGGTTATTTATTTTGACATCGCAATTTGGAGCTCTAAAATAAATGGGTTTAGCACCATAAAACATTAATTAAATGAGGAACCAGCAAGATCACCCGATTTATTTAAACGTATCATTTTTTAGTAGGTGGGTCTTTTCAAGAAACACCCGCTTTCAGGAAAATTTTTTTTTGCTTAAATTGACTTTTGGTTGTATTTTTATAAATGTTTAGAGTTTTGTTTACTTACATTTAAGACAGGCACTTTTTAATTTTTTTACGTTTTTTTCAGAAAAATATGTTTAGCTAGCTTTATATGTCTCCACTGAGTTACCAATTTGAAATCCAAAATTTAATTCAATAAAAAAAGTTATTATAAAAATAATTTTAAATAAAATGTACTTAGTTCACAAATTTTTGACTCCAATTTTATTTTTTATTAAAAATTTAAATATTTATGTTAGTTAAGTTACTTTTTAAAAGACACAATTCCGATTCTTTGTTAAAAAAACAATACCATTAATATTTTCTTTTAGTCACTGTTTTAGTGAGTTAAACTCTAATTTATAAACAGGTATTACCAAGTGATAGTAAAATCATTTTAAGGATTTTTTTTAACAAAAACTAAAAAAGTAACGAAATAGACATTGTTATCACAACGGACTTGGGTACACAAAGGACTTAATCAGATAACGTAAAAAAGAAACTATTTTAGGGTAATGCATAAACAAAATCCCTTGTAGTGGTGCTCACTTGCAGAATAACAACTTAGATTTTTAAATTATAGACACCCTTTTTCTTTGACTATAAGCTGGTGTCTTTTAGTACTTGTATATTGCGTGGAATTTTCCCTTGGATGTAATCTATATCATGAGTTGTAATCACAAATAATTTTAAATTGGTTTATCATAAACTACTTTTAATAAAAGCGACGGTAAATATCCACTTTGTTGTCGAAAAATTCTATTGCGTTACCCTAAATTCCATTGCGTTACCATAAGGTAACGTAATGGACTCGGTAACGCAGTGGACAAAGTTTTGTGAAACCATATTTAAAAAATAAAAATAAAACATTACAGTCATTAATTACTCTCAACGAGCTTTAGTGCCCTAAAATAACCATAAACATGAAAAATAGTATTTTTTCTTACCTTATTTTTATTATTTTTTTGAGTAACTTAGCGGACAAACAATTATTAAATTTGCGTTACCCGCAACTGTTTCAACCGATATCTTCTTCCTGATTGAATAAATAAATTCAGCTGGGTAATGTTTACGTCCGAACATCATTTGTTAATCACGTGAGTGCCAAAAAAGTTGCCATATATATGTTTTTTTAAATATTTTATCGGTAACGCGACGGACGTAACGCAACGGAAAAAAGTCTGGGACATGAGTCAAATTTATAAAAATGTAGATTAAAATTAATTAATTTATATATAATTTATATTTATTAACTAAGGATGTTATGGATTGCTATAAAGCAACACAAAGTTCTGGTTATTCAATATTTAAAAAAAAAACATGTATGTAAGTTTTATAAAACGCTAATGGGACATGCGAAAATGTGTGTTTCACAAGTTTCAAAATTAAAAAAAAATTATTCTGAAATAACTAAACAAACATTTTCTGAAAGAGTTTACTAAGGGCTTGTTAGGCTTTCACTTGGTTTTTAAATCAATAAGATCCGATAATTTTTAACAAAGTTATTGGAATTGAAACTTACGGACAGCGGAAGGCGGGTGTTTTTTGAAAACGACCCAAGTAATATTCAAGTAATTTCTTAACTTCTCAGTTTTATTTTTCATTAAGAAATAAATTTTATGTGTTAACCCTAGAGTGATATTTTCAATTAATTAAAAAATATCATATACAAATTTTTATTCTGGGAATTAATAATATCATAGCAGATATTTTAAAATTATATTTAATTTTTAAGCAAAACTGATATTTTTATTAAAAACATTAAATGAAATTTTTAAATATCTACTATGATATTTTTAAATTACAGAATTAAATTTTTATATATTTTTTATCTAATTGAAAATATCACATAAGAATAATTCCTCAATAAAAACAGTTATTTTTGAATCTATTAATAATAGTTTATTTACCTACTTATTAACTAAAATATCACTTAGGAATAACAAATGTTACCATTTAAAATATCTCAGCAAAATTTCACTTATCAAAGCAATAAATACAACACGTGCTCGTTTATTTAAGATTTACGAACACAAAACAGACAATTCGTTCGATATTTTTAGTTTGCCCAACTAATTTTTAAGCACGCTTTAAATAAACTGTTTGTGCTTAATATCAGTCTTATTTACTCGCGAATTTATTAGATAAACAACAAACACAATAATATGAGATAATTCTTCTGATGCTATGCACACTTGGGTTGCTTTAAAAACTCATTTTTGCAAATTTGTATTAAATAATCATGTTATCCACGAATTGCGACGTCTGCGCATCTCTACCGCGCAATTTTAGCGTCAAAGACACCCATGAATATTTGACGTGAAAAACGTCAAATCAAGTGTTTAATTTATAAATTGTAAAAATTTATGAATAAAATTAAGAATCTAAAAATAGCCCGTTAAATTATTCGCCAGATACGTGACCTTGACGAGGCGCCTTCTTGATTTTCATCTTCTTCTTCTCCTATAACAGCTTCTTGTTTTCTGATCAACGGTGTCTGTGATATTTTTATCGTATAATTAGATGGCAACTACTTGTTGCGAAGTTGACACCGTGTTGCCAAGTTTAGAGTTTGATTGATACGCCTCATGTATGAAGTACAGTAAAATTATTTTCCCACAAAAAAAATCAATTTAAATATAGCATGAGGGCGTTAAAAATTCCATTTAATTCGATTATAACGTCTTTAAGTCCAACAGGAAATATTAATAAAACTTATTACAGTACATATACCCTGTTTTTCAAAGAAAGACATTTTCAAGCTTCGGTATATTAAATACAACATAATTGGGTATGTTGAAACACCATCTCTTAATCAAATGACAAATGCCTTATACGATAATTTCCATTTTAGATGGGAAAAAAGTGTGTCATTGCTATGGAAAATAAACATCTTCGATTATTTTTTAATGAAAATATAAATAGCACGTAAAAAACATTTTAGAATATCGTCTAAAGTCGATAAAGACGAAGCTACAATTGATATAAATTAAGTAACGACTTGGACAAGCTTTTTTTAAATTTACCTAGAATTTCAAAATAAAAAAAAACAGTGTTATTTTTAACCATACAAATTAAGACAGGTGTTTTTTTTTTATTATAACGAAATAACTGTTAATTTAAAAAACCAATGTTTTTAATATTCTCTACAAATACGTTCAACAATGTTTATACTAAGGTCACCCAATTTTAATTTGCATAGGTACCTACAGCTGTATGAAATAATAGAAATTTTTTTATATTACGAAATAGGTATACCTACCTAGTTGTTACAAATATTTTGTTTAATTTAGGTATCTAAATCTCTGAAAAAATTCTGTAAAATTAGCAGAAAATGATTTTTAAAATTAATATTAGGTTGTGTCTGTAATAAGGTTATTATTGTTTTGTTACAATAAAACATTATTTTTTTTAAAACCACAAAATAGTTGTAAAGATATAATAAGATGTTATAATTCAAGGATTTTCTATTTATAGAATTTGGGAAATAATACACATATTTAAATAAATATACCAAAAATATAAATAAATATTAAAAAAGTGGTTAAACTGCGTTTTTATACAAATAAATTACCATTTAATAACCTTGAAATTCTTAAGGGGTATGTTTTACTTCAATAGCATTAAAACTTTTACTAGAGGTCAATATCTTATCGAACCTTTTTTTAATTCATTCGTATTTTTTAAGTGAAAACAGCGTTATTTAATCTTTTATTTATTTAAAAATAGTTTAACCTTGCTGGTTTTCGATAACTTTATATGTGTTTATTTGTAAATAATACTTTACATTAATAAAAAGATAAAAAAATCACGTAGAAATATTGCAGAAATAATTCCAAAACTTTCAACAAAGAAGGCTGTGCATAGAAACGTCAAATAATTTATACAGCCGTCAAACTCACCAGAATTCACTCCAAAAACCACGTGCATACAAAAAACAAACAATCACAATGACACGTGGATACTTTTTGACAGCACAAAACGAAAAATATACCCGAAACTACATCTACACGACTAAATAACTACATGTTATTTAATTTCTATTACAAGATTACATTTACGCAGAATTCGGACGCAAATAACACCACAAAACAAAACGCTGCTGCTGTTTGCAGACTGACCAACTTGACGACTACAATAATAAACCAGAGAACAAATGCCCGCGACGTTGCCGTGTCTACAGTTTGAGAACATGATGTTTTTGAACGATTTAATAGTTTAAAATGTGATTGTTATTAAATAAACTCTGTGGGTAAAAGGCATAAGGGAATAAGTAAAAAAAAGCAATTTTTCAATAGAGCCTTTAACGTATTCGCATTAATTCAGGAAACATAGTTATGGCATTGAGTAAAGAAACTCAATGGTTATGGTTAGCGGGTATACCCTTTTGTTAGCACATGTCATATGCTAACAAAAGCGTATACCCGCTAAACATAAATGTATTTCCTGAATTAATGCGAACTCGTTGAAGGATTTATTGAAAAATTGCTTTTTTTGACTTATCCCCTTATGCCTTTTACTCACTGAACTGTAGGTACCTTGATGTAAAATATAATATATATATATAAGTAGAGTAAGTTATTATGCTTAATCAATATTCTATTGTTTTAATTATAAAATTTAGCAAATTTTAAAACATATTTTCATTCATTTAAAGAGGAAAAATAATATCAAAATACGAGTAATTTATTATTTCTATTACCACTTGTTGAACGAAATAAACACATGGAAATATTTAATACCACATCATGTGGTCCACATGTTTTATAGCAACATTGCAAGATTTCTGAAAAACATCAATATTTGCTGATTTAGCAGACAAATTCATTGAGAAATTAATAAAAAAACAAAATTATTCAGAAGCGTGTATTTTTACTAAGATCTCAACTAATTTCAGTTATGTAGGTATATTATAATATTTACGCATTTAACAAGAAAATTGCTTTAGTGAAAGTTTTATTCGATTACATGTCTTGAGTTTCCATTTCATTTATGTTTAAAAAGTGTTCATTATTATAATTTTTTTTAATACATTAAACAAATAAAAAACTTCAAATCAAATAAAACTAAATCAAATCAAATCCATTTATTTTTATTTGATTTGCGCTAGCTATTGCGCCACGAAGGCTAAGAAAGGTATTTTAATTTTATGTTTATTAAATATACTATAATGTTTAAAAAAAACCTATAAAAAACAGTTCAAAATGCAGTTACACCAAAAATAAATACGGCAACGCCGCAACTAAAAGAATATCCAGTTTTCAGTGTTTCCAACTCCAAATAAAAATCATATAAATAGGTTTGTTCCAGCTAAACTGGAGGGTGAATAGATACAATAAAATACTAATTTTTTTTGAAAAAGTTCAAAACAAAGTTTAGACGTTAAATTAGTTTACATACATATCAGGACCTTTTTTCAAAACTCAATTTAAAATTCGATATTTTTGCACAGGGTAACAATTGAAGAGTCCAGATAAAAAAAAATGAACTGTTCAGTTCATTTTTTTTATCTAAACTCTTCTCTACTTCTGCTAAAGAATTTAATTAAATACTTTGACACTGTCAAATTGACAATTATTAATAATATTTATTATTGATAATTTACTTTTCAAATATAAATAAAAAGATAATTATGCCAAAAATAATAGCAACGAATTCGAATGTAAAACCCCTTTTGATGGCAAAACTTCATTTTGATGAAATTATGCCAAATGCCACAATGGAAGAAAAAGTACATCGCCTTAAGGACATTTTTGAAGTAAAAAAATAACGAATTTATTTTATTGGACAACTGGGCCGTAAAGCAACCTATATTTAACTACTTTTTTATATGATTTTACTCATCCAAGCACCACCAAAGCCAACTTAATTGCATTTTTAACTACGAATTTCGACAACTCAACTTGACAACTGCACAATGTAACCTACAATAATTTATACATAACCACAATTAGATTTATAACTAGCTTAGTTTGTTTTAATCAATCAACTGTATTTACCAAACAAAACCCTAAATTTGCAACGTTGCCGCAGTCCAGATAAAAAAAATAACTTTATAAAATTACTTAAATTTTGACTATTTTTTTGAATCGTGTCAATAAATAAATTACAAATATTTATTACAAGTGAATTTAACATTTATTGCTAAACCTTTATTAAGTGTAATTATGTTAATTTTAAATCAAAATTAAAGCTTTTAATTAAAAAAGCACTTTTTTGTGAATACAAACCCCTCTAAATGCAAAATTGGAACAAACACTAACAAATCTAGCCTTTAATTTCTAGTTGGCACTCCTGATATTTAAACTTGACTAAACTGGTTGCGCCATCTATATGCTGATAGTTAAAGTAGCGGTTGTTAATAGTAGAGACCTGTATTAAGTTGAGGATAGTATCGAATCTGGTTGTAACGTGTCACGTGGTGTCAATCAAGGCAATAAGTACTTTATTTAACGTTTTTACAAATAAAAATGTGAGTAAAATAATTGAAATTTATAAATTTAAAGTATCCATGTCATATGAAAATGTATAATGGAGCTTAAAAATACCAAAAACGTAATTTAAAACAATTAAAATGTAAAATAACCGCAAAAAAGCATCTTCAATTAACCAAAATTGAACAAAGTAAGGGTTTAAAAAGGCAGGGGGTGTTTTTCTCCCTTTTAATCCAATAACTTAACTTTTATATCTGCGTATGAATAATTTAGGAGGCAAAAGTAGCGATTTCAATTTGTTGCGGGTTTTAAAGTTTCATTCTCTTTTGTGTTTAGGTTTTTTTGTTTGTTACAAAAGTCGTTTTATTTTAACTTAAAATTTTTAAGCCTTTAAACTGTGTTTACCGAGGAGGGTAATTTTATTTGGCGTAAAATTTTAAGTGCAGTTTATCGGATATTGTGTATGTTTTTTAAACTATGTATTTTTATTAGCTATGTTGGCTTTTTAGTGGATGGTTTGGAAACAAAAATTAATTTTGACAATGTTTTTAAATTATGTTGCTTTGAAATGTTTAAATTTGACAGGTGTGACCTTAAGTTAGAAATTCTGTTCGTAGAAAGATAAATAAACTGTTTTAAACATTTTGTCAATTTAGGAAATTTTGTACATTTTTTAAATTTTTGAAAAATTTGTAAATGTTAAAAAGTTTGGAAATTTTTGTACCTACCTATACTTTAAAAACTTTTGAAATGTTGAAAATTTCAATTTTTTTTTAAATTGACAGGCAACCTTAAAATTAGTTACATATGTATGTACATATAGGTATAGGACAAAATTTTTAATTTTTTAAAAATTTTGAAAATTTCGAATTTTTCCCAATTTTTTTTAAATTTTGAATTATATCAAATCTTGCCTTAAAATTTCCATAAACAAATTGAAAATTTTAAATTTTTTTGAAATTTTAAAAATGTTGCGTCCTTTTTTTCCCACAATTTTTAATTTTAATTAATGATAAATACGCCTTGAAATTTTAAAATTTGACAGGTGACCTTTCTGTTCTTAGATAAATAAATGGACTAAATTTAAGAATTTTAAAGTTTTTGTACAGGGTGATCCCCTATAATGTCGCCCCCCTTTAACTTTTTTATTTTAAGTCTCCCAAAAAATTTAAAAGTGTGGTTATGTAGGTACTAAAAATTACTTTTTTTCTACGTATAAAAAAAATTGATCAATATGCAGGGAAAAACAAAAAGTTTATTTTTTTTCAATGGATCACCCTATATATGAATTTATTTTTCGATTCCTCCGTAAAATTCTGAGCAAAATTCATATAACAAACCATATCCTAAATTCAACTTTTTCTGAAATATTCGCATTCGAAATGTTATCATTAAATGTTTTTTTAAACTGTTAGAAATCAAGAAGCCTCAGTATACCAAAATTTTTATTGAAAATAAATTACTATAATGACACTATGTCAATATATCTTGTTTAATAAGTAAAAATGGCGTACTCAGAAAGAAAAAGACAAACTATCTTAAAAATAATTTAAATATTTCAGAAACAGTTGAGTTTAGGTATATGGTATGTTATATGAAATATGCTTAGAATTTTACAAGGAATCGAAAAATAAATACATATATAGGGTGATCCATTGAAAAAAAATAAACTTTTTGTTTTTCCCTGTATACTGATCAATTTTCCAATTTTTAGTTCCTACATAACCACACTTTTAAATTTTTTGGGACACTTAAAATAAAAAAGTTAAAGGGGGGGCGACATTATAGGGGATCACCCTGTACATTTTGAAAATTTAGGAGATTTTAAAAATCCTGAAAATTTAAGATTTTATAAAAATTTTGGTATAAAAAAAATTAAATATGTCCAACAATTTTCTGTAGTTATACTACTGTACGAATTTTTCAAAAAAAAAATTAATTTTGAATTATGATAAATGTTGTCTTAAAATTTCGCAGGTGTAATCTTAAATAGACAAATTAAATTTTTTTTATTAAATTTTTGGAAATTTTAAAAATATTTGAAAATTTGTCACGGTTTTTTTTGTACTTACACTACTGTGCATTTTTTTACAATTTAAAATTGTGATAAATATTCCCTTGAAATGTTAAAATTTGACAGGTGTGACCTTAAACATTAAAATTCTGTTCTTTGATAGATAAATGGACGAAATTTAATTTTCTTTAAGTTTTTGTAAATTTTGATAATTTGGGTTATTTTAAAAAAATTGATTATATTAAAAAATTTCGAAATTTATAAAAAAATTGTCCCACCATTTTTTGTATTTACACTATGTGCGAAATTTTTCCAAATTTTTTTTAATATTGAATTACGATAAATGTTGCTAAAATTTGACAGGTGTGACCTTGAAGTTCTGATATTCTGTTTTTATAGATAGACAAATAGCTCCATTTTGGAAAAAATTCGCACATTAGTGTAAATACAAAAAATGGTGGGACAATTTATCTATAAATTTTGAAAATCCCGGAGATTTAAAATATTGTTTTGTACACATTAAAAATTTGTACCTACCACTATTTTTTGTATTTACAATACTGTGCGTATTTCTCCAGAAATTTTTTATTAGATTGATAAATCGACAAATTTTGAAAAATTTTGGAAATTTATCTTGACAAAATTCTGAAATTTAAAGGTTTTAAACAAATTTGGAATTTTAATTTTTTTTAAATTTGTCCCACTTTTTTTATAGT